CTGAACAGTACACTTGTCATAGGGTCATCTGAGAGTGCTGCCTCGGCCTAGCTTACTTAGAGTCCTGTCAGTGGTGCAAGTTAAGTCTAAGGACTACAAAGCCCACTTGACCTTTTCACAATAATATCTGAGAGTACCAGGGTGTTCTTATGAGGGCAGACCTGTGAGAAGGAGTGTTGTATCATGGCTAGCTGAATTTGGACTCATTCAGCCCATTTTAGCATGTACAAACTCCTGATTGCTCTCTGTCCAGGCTTACACGTGTTTTTGGACCCGTGTTAGCTCGGACACCTATCCCCACCTTTTTAGCCTTTTATTTAGCTAATTATCTGGTAATGAGAGGTGAAACATACATTTTTGTGTTTATACTATATTTTCTGTCAAAAATATCTTTTTCACTCCCAGATAAGCAGTCAGACAAATCGCATCTTAACCTGGAAATCTGCAGTTTTCCAAGGCTTTTGTTGCATTTCAATAAGAAAGAAAAAAAGCATAAAGCCACACCTATTTGAACTGAATGGAATTTATTGGTTGAGTTAAAACACATTTGTCAAATTTGTTAGAGAGGCCATTCCACTAGGCCTGGGGTCCTCAACTCCCGGTCTGCAGCCCGGTAATCTCCCGCCCCCCTGGATGTCCCCCCCCACGCACGCACACAAGCACACTAGTCTCCACACATGCACGGTGACCCACCCACCCACTCATGCATGCATAGGTGCCCCCCGCATATGGGTGCCCTGCCCTCTAACCTAAATAAGTACTACAAAACCCATATCTTCACACACATTACCATCAAACTCATACAAACAAAATATCAAAGAACAAAATAATCCACTAAAATACAAAATCCATAAATTTATAAACCTCAGTAAATTTCAATTAAAGCAAGATTACTGTAGTCAGATGAGCTGTTAAATTGAGATGGGCATGAATGAAACTACAAACTGAAAAAAATCCATGAAGCTGGCTAGTTTGTGGTTCGGTTCATAATTCAGTTCGGGAATCCCCTTTTGCAAGAACAAAATGGCAATTTTTGTTTTCTACTCAGCACTTGGTTTTTGACAAAACGGATGCCTCCCCGATCCCTTCCCTCTGCCCCGTCGCCTCCCTTACCTGGTCCTGCCGCCACTGCCTCCTCTTCCAGGAGCAGGGCTGTCTGTCTCTGGACCTGCACACACCCATCAGGGATTCAAAGATGGTGGTGGCGGAGGACAGAGAGGGGGAGGAGGCAGGACCAGGTAAGGAGGTGATGGGGCAAAGGGAAGGAAGGAAGAAAGGAAGGCGGGGAGCCATTGGGCTCCCCTTCCCAGGCACAAACTGGGGGAAAAGAAACCACAAACTGGTTTGTTTTTCTGGGGTTCAAGGGTGGTTTGTTGTTCATGGTTCATAGGTAGCTACAAACCACAAACCACTCTGATTGATCATTTTTCTGATTCCTGCCCTTCTCTACTGTTAAATCATCAATACTTTCAGCAAAAAAAAATTGGCTACAGTTTCTGTAATATTTGAAATATGTACATGGCTTAAAAACAATCAATTTTTGAGAAATATACATAAGCAGGCTTTAATCAAATCAAATTTATTGAGTGTATAACCATTGAAACAATACAAATAAATGTTTTAGTCAATGGGACATTTGTGTAAAACTTGAAGCAGTTTGAAAAAGTGAACTAAAATATGCACACTTTTTGTATGGGGGGTGGGTGATCCCACAGCTCGACATGGAACTGGGACAGGACAAGAATGCCAGTGGGATTCTGAGAAACAAAAGCGCAGAAGTTACTTTTTTAGACTACAACTCTAGAAATCTCCAGCCAACATGTCCAATGAAAATCACGCTATTGTTAGCATGATTTTATGCTAATAATGATTTAGAAAGTTATTAGAGAGAGTTATTAGCATGCTAAAATCATGCTAATAACTCTCATATCTGTGCCTGTAGCTATAGGCAAATTAGAATGTACAGATGAGTAGTCAAGTCAGCAGGGAGAGACCGAATGTTCTATCTTTTCTCAGCAAGCCTGGTAACTGTGTGACAGATCCCAGTAGGTCTCCCAGAAGGAGGTAACATTCTCTTTGGCTATGCATGAGTTGATGGAGAGGGAGGTAGACAGCTGTGTCCCTCATTGCTGCTTTTCAGGCTGGTCATAGAAGGAGGCAACATTCTCTTTGGCTACACATGAGTTGATGGAGAGGGGGGGTAGACAGCTGTGTCTCTCATCAGTTTGGAAGAATTCCTTGGAAGAAGAGCTTCAGTTCTAATATGGGAGCATTTCCTCCTATGATTTCCCACCCAGATACTAAGATGATCACTTGTGATCTCATTCCAGTTGCACCTGTCAAAATAAAGCAATGTGAGTGTACAACTACACTGGGGAAAAATGCAGGTTTGTGAAATACAATTTGTATTTTTTTCCCCCTGTTCATGATGCAAAGGTAAATGCAAATCAGCCTGGAATTTTCCCCGAAAACCAGCAGCTTCTACATTTTTTTTAATACTGAATCGTCTGCCTTAGTTGAGGCATGTGATCCCTTCAACCAATGCAAGAAAAGCTGCTGCACCAGCACACAGTCAGGAGCAGTGAATAAAGCCTTTCAGCAAGACTTTTCCTTTCCTTTTTGGGGGAGGTGTGTGTTTTGTTTTGAGGGTGAAGCCAAGCCTCTTTAAAGGCTTGGCACAACTTTTCTTTTCTTTTTTTGAACTAAGGATGAGCAAGACCTTTCTTTTTCACAGCTCAGAAACAGTTTGCAAAGCTAGCAGAACTTCTTTTTTTTAAAAAAAAAAAAACAGCTTGGTGCCAACAGTGATGTGCTAGGTTTGCAAAGCTAGCAGAACTTCTTTTTTTAAAAAAAACAGCTTGGTGCTAACAGTGATGTGCTAGAGAGCAGTGGTGGCATGGCAAGTGGTATATCACTTCTTAGACTGGCATGCTCTAGAGCAGTGGTCCCCAACCTTGGGCCTCCAGATGTTCTTGGACTTCAACTCCCAGAAATCCTGGCCAGTGGTGAAGGCTTCTGGGAGTTGCAGTTCAAGAACATCTGGAACTCAGTGTTGGGAACCACTGTGCTAGAACACCTAAACACAAAAAGAAAAACAGCTAATCAGAGGAGGAAACCACAGAGGGAAAGACTGTCTATAGCCTGTAAAGGAGCTCCTTTGTTCTGCACTTCCTGCAGGCACTTCGATAGAACTGCAAACAAGATGCAAGCGGGACTTCTCTCCTGTCTCCCTGGGTGGCCACTTAAAGAGAGCAGACCCAGATTCCTCAGGATGACTTCACAGCAAGTGAATGCAAGTGAACTGCATTACCCTTGCTGTATACTCATACCTTGAGATAGATTTTATTTCCTGGTGGCCCCTGTTTTGTGGAACACCCTCTGCAAAGAAGCTCACTTGGCACCTCTCGTTTGAGGCCCTGGTACCAGGTGGAGAAAACTGTTGCTTTACCACACTAAGGTCTTTGCATTTTCCTATTTGTTTTCTTCTAGTTTTACATGATCCAGTGTTCACACTCCTTGGCAAAAGTAAATTTTTTGGACTGAAAGAGACCCCCCCCCTTCTGCAGCTACCAAAGGCTTCTCCAGGATGAAAGTATTCTATAAGAATCCATAAACATGACAGGGAGAATAGGCAACTTGTGGTTGATGACATGAAAGGTAGTCACACAGAGGAGAGGCAGAATCAGTTCTCAGTCATCCTAGAGTGCAGGACATGTAATAATGGGCTCAAGTTACAGGAAGTCAGATTTAGGCTGAATATCAGGAAAATTCTCTTAACTGTTAGAGTAGCATGACAATGGAATCCATTAACTTGGGTGGTGGAGGAGGCATTCAAAAGAAAATTGGACAACCATCTGTCAGATCTGCTTTGATTTGGATTCCTGCCTTGCGCAGGGGGTTGGACTCAATGGCCTTACAGGCCTCTTCCAACTCAAATTATTCTATGATCTGCGATCACCTGGGTTGCATGTATAAAGTTGCACAAAAGGCCAGAAAACTCTGGTTACCAGGTGGTTTACAACCACACTAAATGCCCTATACTAGCATGTTAGCAGCCTAGCAAATAGTTTTGGTGCTACCGTGTTTCCCCAAAAATAAGAGAGGGCCTTATATTGATTTTTGTTCTAAAAAACACATTAAGGTTTATTTTCAGGGGATGTTCTCTTTTTTCATGCACAGCCATCTACATTTATTCAAATACTATCCTGTCATCTTCTTCTGGTTGCTGCACGATGGTGGAGGGTGGTGTTTCTCTTAACTGGGGCTTATTTTTGGGGTAGGGCTTATATTACGAGCATCCTGAGAAATCATACTAGGGCTTATTTTCAGGTTAGATCTTATTTTCAGGGAAACAGAGTAGCACATTTTGTGGGTTTCTTTGCATGGCTACCCTTGCCTCTTAGTTAATTTACGATGACTGTCTTGCAGAAACTGCTCCTTGATTGTGACCTTACCGGTGATGCCTGAAGGAAAGCCCACTCTGTATGTGACAAGCCTTACAAACTACTTAATTGAAGAGAAACTTATGAAGCCCTTCCGTAGGCTGTACAACATCAACCTGATGGCAGAATATTACAGAGCCAAGCAGGCCCTCATGGAGACCCCATTTGAGTGTAAGTGAAATAGCTGAATTTGTTGAACAGCCTTCAATTTGTTTCTGTGTCTTCTTAATCCAGAAGGAAATATCCAATCACCCGGGGTTGGAGAACCTCAGTAAACTAAAATATGCTGGAGTTATTGGTCTCTCCCTTTTGCCTTTGGTCCCTGAGAATATCATGAAAATTGAATTTGGCCCTTGTACCAAAAGATATTCCTCATGCTTGCAACAGGCAGTAGGAACCCCCCCACCCCCGCTAGTAAGAGTATGTGACCATCCACTTGTGTTTGTATGCAAGGCAAGTTCCTGGAAGCCTATGCATGAGGTCCTGCTCATATGTGAACTTCTACAGCTCATGGGGCTTCAGTGTAGCTGCTACACAGTTTAAGAACTGTTTGGTGACTGATTAAGTGACACTCGTTTTTGCATCATCCCAGACCATGCCTTGTTGATGGGGTATAAGCACCTGAGGACATTTGATGGGGAGATGTACAGCTTGACCTCCAAATGCAGTGTGCTCCTGGCCAAGGATTTTATTCATGATACATTCGCCTTAATATTAAACCTGAACAGTAGTGGTGTCAAGTCACTACATGCTTATCTGAGTGATACTACTGTTGTTATCCACCCAGAACAGAAGGTAAGAGAAGGAACTGGATGCAAGTTCTTCTGCTTTATGAACAAGGAAACCATTGTTCTGCTTTGTGGATCACGGGGGGGTCTATAACAGAAAGAAGAACAAAAGTAGATGCTTACATCTGCTCTAGAGCAGC